CCCTCCCCGCCAGCTGCTCGCCCCGTGCCCGGGCTCGGGCCCCGACGGCCGCGCCGTGAGATGACTTTCCGCGACATCCTGAGCGTCACTTTCGAAGGACCCCGCTCGAGCGGTGGCGCTGGGGGCTCCGGCGCGGGCGGCGGGGCCGGCACGGCCAGCTCCGAGGGTCCGGCGGTGGGCGGCGTGCCGGGGGCCCCGGGCGGCGGCGCTGTGGTGGGGACGGGCGGCGGCGAGGACAACCGGAGCTCCGCGGGCGAAGCGGGGGCCCCGGGCGGCGGCGAGGTGAACGGCTCGGCGGCCGTCGGAGGGCTGGTGGTGAGCGCGCAGGGCGTGGGGGTGGGCGTCTTCCTCGCCGCCTTCATCCTCACCGCCGTGGCGGGCAACCTGCTCGTCATCCTCTCGGTGGCCTGCAACCGGCACCTGCAGACCGTCACCAACTACTTCATCGTGAACCTGGCGGTGGCTGACCTGCTGCTGAGCGCGGCGGTGCTGCCCTTCTCGGCCACCATGGAGGTCCTGGGCTTCTGGGCCTTCGGCCGGACCTTCTGCGACGTGTGGGCCGCGGTGGACGTGCTGTGCTGCACCGCCTCCATCCTGAGCCTCTGCACCATCTCGGTGGACCGCTACGTGGGCGTGCGCCACTCGCTCAAGTACCCAGCCATCATGACCGAGCGCAAGGCCGCTGCCATCCTGGCTGTGCTGTGGGCGGTGGCCCTGGTGGTGTCCGTGGGGCCGCTGCTGGGCTGGAAGGAGCCGGTGCCCCCGGACGAGCGCTTCTGCGGCATCACCGAGGAGGTGGGCTACGCGGTCTTCTCTTCCCTGTGCTCCTTCTACCTGCCCATGGCGGTCATCGTGGTCATGTACTGTCGCGTGTACGTGGTGGCGCGCAGCACCACGCGCAGCCTCGAGGCGGGCATCAAGCGGGAGCCCGGCAAGGCCTCCGAGGTGGTTCTGAGGATCCACTGTCGCGGCGCGGCCACCGGCGCCAGAGGAGCCCCGGGGTCGCAGAGTAGCAAGGGACACACCTTGCGCAGCTCACTTTCTGTGCGGCTGCTCAAGTTCTCCCGCGAGAAAAAAGCTGCCAAGACGCTGGCCATCGTCGTCGGGGTCTTCGTGCTGTGCTGGTTCCCCTTCTTCTTCGTCCTGCCGCTGGGTGAGTGAGCCCATCGCTTCATACCCTTCCTTCAGCTAGTCTCTTCCTGGAAGGCTCAGACGACCACAGCCTGACTGTGGAAGTTTATCGACTTCCTAGTCGCTTCCTAGTTGCAGAGAAAGTGCAAGGGGACCTTGATACTTCTGGGTTTCCTTTTACAGGCTTCTCGCTCTTTTTCTTACCCTCGGTAGCCGTTACAAAGGCTCGGCCTTGCTGTGGTTCCTTGGAAATGCGGGCAAACATGTCCCAGTAGTGTGTGGTCCCTGGGAATAGGTACACAGGGGGTGAGCCCACGCGCTTTCATTCATTCGCCGGCAGCAGACCTAGGCCAGCCACCTGGGATCTCAGCAGGCAGCTCAAGTCCTGCCTTCTCCTATAGGTGCCTCAACTGGCCTCACTGGTCTCTGTGAGGGCCCTGTGGGCTTTCCCTTCGGAAATCGCCTCTTGAAGGGGCTGGAGGAGGGTGCTTTCGTGAGGGTGAGGAGGAAGAAAAGGATGAGAAGTCTGTCAAGTGCACAGTCACTGTTGTTTAGAGTCATTTAGAGTAAACTAGTTCCTTTACAAAGGCCCTGCAGTTGGGGAGGGGGAGTACAACTGTCCTCAGGGAACCCCTCCCACCTCTTGAGCCTCTCCGGAGGCCCCGAGCAGGGTCCCCGCCCCCACCTCACCAGCACGGAGAGGAGAAAAGGGCAGCATGCCTAAGGCTCTCTGCTCTGGGACACTTTGCTCACAACTGCAACCCCACCTGGCTGCTTGTGCTTGTGAGGCTCACTCAGGGAAGAAAGGATGGCCTCCCTCCCATCCCCTGCAAGTCTTCCCCACACAGCAGCCACAGCGACCTTTCTGTGTCATAACTCAGCGTGATCCTCCAAGCCCCCGGGTGTTTCTATACTTTGTACTTGAGAACAAAATCCAACTGTCTTCCGTAGGCTACAAAGGGTGGCCTTCAAGTTTATAATTGTCCACACCCAAACAGGTCACTGATACTGCAGGAGGCCCCAACAGATGCTGCCCCATCTGAAAGGGGCTATTCCCAAGAAGGGCTGCCTCTCTCTGCCCTGACATGCCCCTCAGTGAGTTAGTACTTTGCCAAGCCTGCCCTCAGTCTGAACTGACCCCCAGATCTCTTTCCTAACACCCAACCTGTGGGCCTCTGCTTAAGTGTCCCCTCTGCCTTGGTGTTTCACACCCTCCCTGACTGTACCTTTCAACTGTATCATCACTGAACCCATAGTACCCAGAACGGTGCCTGGCCTGTGAGGAGCAATAGTCTTCATTAAGGGCGCAGGCTCTGGTGTCAGGCAGCTTGAGTTCAAATCCCACCTCTGCTTCTCACTAGCTGTGTAGCCTTGGGCCTCTGTTTCTTTAAGTGAGGGTGGTGATGACGGTGATAAAGCTGGCCCCGAGAGCCGGGGGAGTGCTGTGTGTGCGGGAATGGGACTGGGGCATGTGACTGTCATACACTGACCCCCAGCTCTGCGGAAGGAGTAAACCCCCACTTGAAAATCATCCAGCCAGAGTCTGCTTTGGGGTTGGGGAATGTGAAAGCAACAAAGCTGGAGGAGGGGACAAATAGCCAGGAGAAAGATGTCATGTAGATCTTTGCAATTGTGCATACCCTCCCTCTTCTTCTCCCGCTCCCTCCCCCTTTCCCTCCCCCTCCATCTCTCTCCAAGGACCTTCCACCACATCCCTGCTCTGGCCTTGCCATATAGACCCTGTTCAAAGGCACCTCAGTCTCCTATCTGTGTGTGTCTTAGCTCACCTCAGTCCCCAAGGGAATGCTGAGCCTGGATAAGAAACGCCACCTCCCTTTTTACATTTTTCTTTACTTTTAAAAGATGCTACAGGATAACGCATAAATGAAGAAAATGAACATTCTAAGCATCATTGGGCCTGTGATCACCTACACTGAGCATATGCTGACCTGGACCTTACATCCCTCCTCTGGCTGCTTTCACAGACTATCACAGCCAAACTCAATGCCCCATTTCCTCTTCCACCACCCAGAGACGATGCTGGCATTTATTACATGAGTGTATTTGTTGATACTCTTACCACAAACATCTGCATTCCTATCAAAGCACAGAATTGCTCTGTGCATTTTCAGGTTTTATGCTGATGGCACCCACTGTGCATATCATTCTTCAGTCTGCATTTTTCATCCAACATCGTGTCCTTGAGATTCGTGTAGTGTGGGGCCATTATTAGTGCAGTTGAGAGTACTGCACAGAGTGTTGATCCAGTCTCCTACTGAATGTTAGGTTTTTCTCATTTTTCATGGTTAAAGTCAACTTAGCAAAAGACCGCTACTGTTTTCTGAGGTCCAGATCACATGTTCCCATCTTCCAGGAAATCATCTCTAAATCTCCATGACCCTTGCCCCTTGTTGGCATGCAATGCTCTTTCTCTGTCCCTGTATCTCTGCTGCTGCTCTCACATGGTATGGGAGCCTTAGAGATGTCTATATCTGGCTCCAAGAAGGGATTGCATGGATGTATGAATATGCAAAGCTATTAAGTTCTGTGTTTCAGGGTGTGCATGCCAGCTCAAACTCCTAGCAGAGCCTAATCCTGAGGAGTTGGCAATAATGAGCAAACAGGACAGATGCCAAGCAAAGAAACAGAATATTCCACTCTGCCCTGTGTAGTTTGGAGGGCAAAGAGGAGGGCAGAGGCTGCTGTGGGAGCAAGGGAGTGGCCTGGAGGCTTGAGGCTGGAAGGGGGCCAGGAGGCATGGACACCCCCAAGGCTTGTGAGGGAGAAGTGCCCTTGAACAAACATTCTTAGCTATGACACTTTGTGGGGAATCTGGCCTTCAAGGGGCCAACATGCCTTAGCATGGGAGTGCTAGGATAAAAGCTATAGGGGATCAGGGCAGAGGTTTTGGATGAGGATGCTGCAGGAACATGGGGTGTAGTCTCCCAGGAAGGCAGCAGGAGGATGGCAGCCAGGGAGCACCAGTTCAGAAAGAACCATGCAGAAGTCAGGAAAGGCAGCTGCAAGAGGGAAGGGTACAGCCTCACAGGTGGAAGCCTTCAGGTCCGCACGAGTGTGCCAGCTGTGACAAGTCCCAGATGCACTGGGAAAGAGCGAGCATGGCTATAGAAATAAACACAACCATAGGGCCACTACCTGGGAGCCTCTGAGCATCCCACCGTGCCCTCACTCACACCTCTCAGGTTTGTTTTTTGCTGTAATGACGACTGAGCCCAAGCCACGTCCTCCACCACTGAATTACACCCTCTAGGCCCTATCACTGATGTCTGAAAGCCACCACCCAGAACAGCTTCAGAGGCTCTGACCGGAATCCATACAATCCACCCAACCCCCCTGACTCCACGCCAGCCATCTGGGAGCCATAACTGGGTCTGTTTCACAGTGCTGGCCTGTCTCTGAGGTACAGAGAACATCTCTGACCCTCACACTTAGTTCATTGCCCCAGTGCACTAGGCTGCCAGCATCCAATGTGTATCACAGTGTGAGGGCTGAAGAGACCTACCACGTAGTCACAGGAGAGCGGCCGTGTCGGTGGGTACCCAGGCTTGACAGACCTGGAATGGGTAGTTGTGTGAAGAAACAGGTCCAGAGATGAAGCCCAACCAGGAGAATGGTGACATTAACCGTTTATTCATAGACTAGGCTACTATACAGCAAGGAAAAAAAAAATAAGTGAATTTTATGGACATTCTATTGGACAGAGTAAGGCAGATCAGGAAGACAAAGAGTGTGTTTCATATGATTCTACGTGTATATTCAAAAGAGGCAAAATCCAGCCAATGATTTAAAAATCAGAATAGTTGTTGCCATTGTGTGTGAGAGAGAGTGGGGACAAGGGGAAGCAAGTGCTAGAACTTTCTGCGACACTGAAAACGTTCTGTATCTTGCTCGGGGACAGATGCAAATGGTGTCATCTTGTTATATGCTCAAGGCATATACACATTAGTGTATGCAAGTCCAAAAACTTGGTCTCTGACTGTATGGCGCCTTAAGCAGAGTAGGTGCTGGGCAAACTTGGACAGCTTGGGGGAGTGATGGGACCCATCCATGTCTTGGCGCAGCCTGCACCCCAAGGGTCTGGGCGGCACAGAACAGCCCTGTGTTTTATCTTTAGCGGGGTATTGTGGCAGTTCTTTATCTTACACTAAAATCGTAAGTGTGCCCACACTAGTATTAACTAGGGATAGGGTGACCCAGCTGGTCTCCAGTGCTTATCATCTTACCAGACTGACGCGCTAACAGCTCCTTTTGGGAAACTGAGGGCCCACAAAGGACATCCATTCTCTGGCATCCGGGAAGTTTTCTAGTGCTGTGATAATTCCATGGCTTTTAGGCATCTGTGCTGTTGTGTGATGCCTCACAGGTTTTGTGCTTGACCACAAACTGTCTTCAGAAACCTTTGAGACGCCTTCAGGAGTGTGTCCTTGCTCTCCAGTCTACTGAGGCTCAGCTTGTGCTTTTCCAGCCCAGGCCTGGCGTTCACTGTTGCTCTTTTATTGGGAGATGACAATTAACAGACCACAACGCGAGCTCTCAGCTGCTGACTGACACTGTCATCTTATTGGCCATCAGCTCTGGCTCAGATTCAGGTTCAGGACAAAGCTAAGAAATTCAATACTTATAGGGAACCCCAAAACATTTGTACCTAAATGTTAGGGTCACAAGCTGTCTCCCAACTTTCATCCTTATTCTAGTCATCACTGTGGTTCCGTTATACTGAGGGTCCTCACCCTACAGACTAGCTTGTCTTTCCTTCTCTTCTGTCCTTCTAGGGCCGTGTTTGAGCCCCTGCAGCCACTTTGATCCTCCCTGTTCATCCTCCGTAGATCTCTGTGTCTGAGTCCACCTGCTCTGTCTTCCACCCGTGGCTTCCGTCGTGTTGAACTCAGCCTCAGTCTGGTTCTTACCTCCCTGTCTCTAATTTTGCCCCCCCCCCCCCGTTCCTGAGAGGCAGCTGTGACTTGGCACTTCCTTTGCTCTGAGCACATTTAACTCCCTCCT